TTACTAAATAGCTCAAAATTGTACACAGTGTTTAAAAAAAAATTTCGGATTCGAGTTTTTTCTTTTCTTTGCATTTTCTGAGAACATTTACCATAGTAATGTATATATTTTTTTACATTATCAGAAAGAAGAGATTTCAACGAACAAAAAACTTTCCGACCTTTTTTAAAAAGCTGATATTTTGATGCGAGAATTTTCGATTGAAAATTAGGGTGTTTTTTCGATATTAAGTCAAAATAAGGTGAAAAAATAAATATTTTAAATCAAAAAAATTACAGTTTTAGGACATAAAAAGGTAAGTTATCACCAAATTTCGTGAAAAAAATTTTTTTTTGCATTAGATAAAAATAAACCAAAAACTTGATTTGAATTTTTCACATAAATTTTGATGTTATGTAAAAAAAGTGTAATAACAAAAGTTGTAGGTCTCTTTATTACCTACAACTTTGTTATTTAATTTTTTTCCACAGGACTTGTAGTTTTGCCGGAAATCGAGATACACCGTTTTTACTCTTAAAAACTCACTCCCTTCCACTTCCTGACCTAAGATCGCCCGTAAATTATTTTTCTTTTCATTTTTGTTATATTCTTGTCCTTTTTTAACGGGTTTCATCTTAATATAATTTTTTTTCACTTTTTACCATTTTCAAAATTATCGACCCTGGAGCAACACTCCGTGTCCCATCGCTTTAGATATATAGTTTTCTACAATCGATTTCTACTGTAGAATTCTATAAACGCTTTGCCGGTACTCCGTGTGACAGTCGATTCATGGATGTCAAAACATCGGACATTCTCGGAGGTTTACTAACCGATCTAAAAATGTTTGCTTGAATTATAGAGAGATTTGTTACTTTTTGTACAGTTCATCAAATTTCTAGAGGCTTTCGACGGCTAGACAGAGAAAGCACTACTGACAGGCATCCCGACGGATTTACGCAATGAAAGTACACTCTGCGCATCAAGTATTTCACTATTTCATTCAGACGTAAATGTCAGATGTAAATTTCGCTGAAACATTTCTTTTATTTTCGTTTGTGTTTTTTGCTCATTACAGTTTAATAGAACCTAAGTATGGAGTTTAATAGCAAATTAAGAGGCCGCGTGATTAACAGTCAATCTCGCGAAATAATAGCCAATGTTATAGAGTTTATGAGAAGAGAAGGAAACTTTAATTCACCTTCAATACCATTTAAAAATGTAAATGATCGTGTTGCTGCAGCCACAGGAGTATCTAAAAACACTGTCGTCCGCATTTCTGGAGAGAAAGAAAGAATCGATAACCGTGAGATATCGGAATTTTCATCACCAAGAAAAACCATTAAAAAACCAAAAACAGTTAATGATATAGATGAAGCTGCACAAGAATCAAATTTTATTTTTTTATTATTAGATAGCTATTTTTGTTTCTGAGTTGTGTTCATTTACAGGCTCAATTTTTTTCCGTTTCTCCTTTTTGATTTTATATGGGGTTTCAAGTTGTTTTTGACTTATTTCGACGTAAATCACAACAACACACTTTTTTAATAAAGCAAACAAGTTTTAAGAGGGATATGTACGTGTAAACTACAATTACAAAAAATTGATATGAAACCCATGAAACCACCAACAAAAATGTAAAGCTAGCTTCCGTACTAGAACATGGTGTCATTCGTCGAGATAATTTATCGTTTTGTTTAATAGATCAAGAAATGTAAATATTCCCCTGTTATTTTTTATAAAATTATAAGAGAAATAAATTTTTTTCTAAATAGTATAGTTTATTATTTTGTAGAGAAACAAAATTTCGAAAATTTTAGTAATGTTTCAGAAACAACCGTTATTAATAATAGGTACCATTTTCCATAATAAGGTAGAAATAAAATATAAACTATTTCCACGATTTACAAAGGCCTACAAAAAAATTATAGGTATTTTCCGCTATCCTATAAAATTTATATTTTCTGACTCAATTTCAAAAGTTTGAAGGAATTCCAAAACACCTTTTATGGCATAATAATTATTTTCAATTCTACATACTATCTTTAGCTGCTTTTAAAAACGTTCTAAGAAAGTCCAATCAGACCAATTTAATCCCTAAATTATTCCACACTTTTAAAATTTAATTACCTAAAAATATTAAAAACTATTTAAAATAACTTGTTTAGCAGACTGTACAATAGCTATCTTAGTCACACGTAGCGCGTTCTCTGTCTGGGCGTCGAACACCTCTAGAAATTTGATGAACTGTAAAGTATGTCAATTTCTGACAGATAAATTGCCGCTTTGGTTTTGATTTTGAGTTTGTGTTAATCTAGTTTTTGCTTTGATTTGTAATAATGGTCCCTTTGTTTGTGGCCAATATATTAGCTGCTGAAGAGGAGGAACGACGTTTGGAAAATATAGATAGGCTAGTAATGAGAGAGACAAGCGATCCATTCTCTATAGAAAATGTAAGATTTGTAGAGTTATTTCGATTAAATAAAGATATGTGCCAGTATATATTAAATGGAATTACGTCGAGAGCTAAAGAGGAAAAACGGCCATTATAAACACCTACTCAGGTTTCCTAGAACTCTACAGGAAAAACAACAAATTTAGTGATGTTTTATAGAAGCAAATTTTTCAGGGATAATTGGAGCAGTAGATTGTACCCATGTTGAAATCCTGCCACCAAATGAAGAGAAAAATAAGTGAATCGGTTTTTTTTTGGAAAACGTCTACTTAAATTTAATTCATTTGTGAGCTTTTCCAAACTTATTTACAATAAAAGATTAAAAATAAAAATCTGATACATTTACATTTATTAAACATATAGCGGATTCGACTCAAATGCTCTTGCTCGATGACAAAGCGCTTTCAGTTCTGAATTGATTTTGGGCAGCATTTTTATAATTCAAATTTATATCTAGCAGTGCACACAGCAAGCACGAGCTAGATTTCGATAATGGTGTAGCGCATCTTTATCCTTATTCGACTGGCACAGTTAGCTCTTGACATTTCAGGTTTCTAACAAACTTTTAACGATATTTATTTATAGTTGCCAAACCAAAAATTAAATCTCTATTAATTTTAAAGATTTTCCATTATCACTAATATTAAAGACAAAGATGGTAATATATTAAAAAATATGAAACAATTCCTAACCTCCAAAATGACACTGGCACTGAAAAAAAGTGCAGTTCCAAAAAATTCAAACTTTGAGCAAAAGCGCCTGCCAGTCGTACAAAAATTTCACTATGCCTTGGTACCGAGCAATTTCAGTCAAATGCAATAATTGACTTTTAATTAGTTAGTCGAACAAACACCACTTAAATAAGTCGAACTAAATGCGCATTAATGCAGCCAGTCGAATCCGCTAATAGTTTTACAATGACATTATTAAGTAAGTTTGGAGACCTCTGTCGGCCAGTCAAGTATCATACTGTAAAATTATTTGTTTTATTGGGGAATATCCTGGATTAAGGATTTAAAATTATTACATTTTTTATACTGATGCTGTGGCTGTATGTGCCTCTTCAGCAGGAAGATTCGCCTTGGACTAGCAGATTTTGCTGTTAAAAAAATATGGCAGAATAAATCTATTATAATGTTTACACACACACCACAACAAAAAATTTACTTGATTTAACAACAAAGCTAATGGCTTTACCGTAATTCTTATTTTTACGTTTGCTACTTTTTTTTCGTTTGAAATTAAATCCAATATCATATGTTTTAAAATCAAAACAAAAATGTATGACGGTTTGCCTACTTTCATAGAAAACTATATGTCTTGGCGTCTCGCTTCGTGATGATAGTTACAGTCGACTCCTGGCGATTATTTGGAGCCAATCGATAGGATTGAAGCGACCGGTAGAATTCTATATGACACGGAGTCCCTATGCTGGTCTATTATGTTTGTATATGCATAAAAATTCATAAATCTGCTGTATTAGTTGTTTATTCGCTCCGTGCGCGTCAGCAGCGCCAATTCGTTTTGGTATTAATGGACTATTTCTGCGTATATAGACAAATGCAATTTTTAATAGAATTCGTAATTAAAAAGTATATATGTTAGTTTTAATAAAAGTATATGGATTTGTAAAACAAGCAAAACATTAATTTATTATTATTATTATATATTTTTATCTCTTAAATTAAAGAAAATTATGTAAATTCAATAAAAATCAATAATAAAATATAGGCAGGCAACAGTATTTAATGAAAAATGTATAAGAAGTTGCCTAAGTCTAATAAGTTGTCATTGAAGAATTATTCTGTCAAAACAAAAAATACCATTTAATAATACCGTAAAGTTAAAATGTATAAAAAAAGGATCGTTATTTATATTTTCATTTTTGTTGAAAACAAAACATAGAATGAATGATTAAAACTGGTTTCCCATCAGTAAGTTACAAAATTGTATTCCAGCCACATATAATAATAATAATAATAATCAAAGGCAGAAATCTTGAAATCTAGTCCTTGCTGAATGAACATTTAAGAATAAAGGGATATTAAAGAACATTGTAAAATGATAATTTATTGTTTATTTAAAACCTTTAAAAGTTTCTGATGTCTACTATTTCCAGCATTACTGTTATTATTACAAAAATAAAGGTAATTTTTCTTCTTATTGTACACCTATCCATTTATTTCTTTGATTTAATTTCCACTTTGCTACTGAAATTTTTTATATAAGTTTCACTGTTTTTTTTGCTAGTATTTGTACAATTTTCAACACAGCAACTCCGGTTGCTTACTGTATTGTTTTCACCTACTTTTTTGAAAAAAAGTAAAATGTATACGTGTATTTGATATGCCAAAATTACAAAATATCGCCCTAAAATGCACGAATTATCCGCAGCTAGCGCTAGTATCGCTTTTGCTTCCCTTTCCATGACTTCGCACGGAGCGAATAGAAAACTAATCATTTAAATGAAAAACCATGTACATCTTTGGACTTCCACAAAATAAAGTAATTGCAATACATTGTATACATATTTTTTCTCATATAAGTATTATTTTTTTGCTTGCAGGTCATCGGAAGTTCATTGCTTTTTGTCCACGATCGTTTCACCGCTAACGTTTGGTTGATCGACTTCGCCAAAACCATCATCCTACCTGACAACATAAAAATTACACACCGTTCCAAATGGAAGGTTGGCAACCACGAAGACGGCTACCTCGTTGGGATTAATAACCTCATCAAAATATTTATGACGATGCTAGAACAACAACCTGTTACTGTTAGTCCTCCGCTGACTCTGCAAGATCCACCCGAAGTGATATAGGGTTTTAGATATATTAAGTTAATTCCAAAAGTGCTAAGTTAGGTTATTTTGCTTCATTTATTATATTTGTTACCAAGAAAGTTATTGTACAGGGTTTTTCATTATATTTTGACCACTACGTATTTTCATTATTCTTGTAAAAGCTTTGTTGTTTTACTTCAACTTTTTCGGCCAGAGTATAACCCATTCCAAGCAATCAATTGACAACTTTTATTAAACAAACACCTGTTTCAATTGGAAACATCATTTTCATAGCCATCTATGTGTTACACTTTCATAGTGCAATAAGTCACTAAAAAATTAAAATATTTTATATTTTTGTAATCAGGAAATGCAAGTGCACATAAAATGACAAAACTATGTAGGGTGTCCCATTAAAAAAATGAAATTATACTTTGTTGGAAGAGCCCTGTATATACAATTCTGCCAGTTATTCCATTTTTAGTCGATACAGGTAAAACAACAAAGCTTTTACCTAATTTTTTTTTGTGTTTGCAATAATAATGAAAATAAGTAGCGGTCAAAATATGATGAAAAACCCTGTACATATACAGGGTGTCATTGAAATAGTGTAAAAAAATTCGGGAGGTGATAGTACTCCCAAAACTAGTAAAAAAAGTTCCTATAACTATGGGTCGTTAAATGCATATTAAGGGATTTAGAGGAGTCAAAGGGCAAATTTGGAAAGTGGTTTTTTAAAATTGTAAGCTTAAAAAACACGATAAAACTTCGAAAAAATCACTGCTGACATAGAATTTACTGCTGAATCCAATGTTAATATCGAAAAATTACTTATTTAATCAGAAAGGGTAGTTCTTGCAAGGGTAAGGGGTCGATTTATGATAAACTTTTTAGTTGTTGATTTTTTTACAACGTGGGTCTATTTTTTAGAAACTACTACCTTTTTTCCATAAAAAAGGTACTCCTATTGCAAGTCGCTTAAAGCAATGGTTTTCGAGAAAATTAAAGGCAAACATTTTACTGAACCCGTATTTGAAAAACAAGTATGTATTTATTTTTTGATGGGTTGCTCACAGGTTAATCAATATAAATTTATGAAAATTATGGCGTGATTATTTCAATTTAGAATCACCAAATCGCCCTGTTAAACAAGAGAAGCGCCAAAATTATTTTAAATAATAAAAGAGTGAGAAATTAAAGTGAAAAATATTTTTTCCTACGACCACTTAGGAAAGTGACACATATCACGCTATATAGTCCTATGGAAAGTGCCCTATATCACACGCGTATGAATAAGAATTTACTTTCCACCCGAGTGAGAATATGTTACTTTCCGCAGTAGTTGTCACAAAATGTCAAACACCTAATTTCTATTTTGATCTATGTAATGTCCATATTAATACTTAAATCGATATGATTGTTAAATTATTGAAATTGTTGTAAATTAGATCCTAGATATTTATCTTTAACAATTATTATTAAAATAATTTTAAAATAATGTTTGCTCATTATTCTGGTTAAATACATAACCGATTAGATCATTCAATTGACACAAGGGCCATTAGCTCAGGTGGTTAGGACGTCGAACTTATCAACTTTGCCATTTTCCGACCGCGTTCAAATCCTGGCGGGGCAGAATTTTTTTTTTGTTTTTTTTTCTTTTTTAGTTTTTTTTTTTTTTTTTTTGTTTAGAAAATATGAAAACTGAATAAATACGATTATTGTTGATTATTTTTTTAAATACATTTCAATTATTATAGTAATAATAACCTTGGTTTTACATTTTTTTGATGACATTATTTTGTGGTCGTAGGAAAAATATTGTAATACACTATATTACTGTTATGGAAAGTACCGTAATTTTTTATCATATCAGTCTGACTCTTTTATTTAAAGTAAATGTTCAATGTGGCCACCATTCATTTTAATACAGACACCTGCTCTTCTCCTCCAGGATCTGCGTACCCTATCGAAAATCCTTGGCGTTGTATGAATTTGATTGGAGCAGTCAATTATCCGTTGTCGTAGTTATTCTTCAGTATTAATCGGCACTGAGTAAACCAAAGCTTTTAAGTGACCCGATAAGTAGAAATCAAGTGGATTAAGATCTGGTGATCTGGCTGGCCAAGCTTGTGGACCACCACGTCCTATCCAACGCCTCTCGAAAACTTGATTTAAATGATTTCATACGGCTAGTGGAAAATGAGGTGGTGCACCATCGTCCCTAAAATACATAATCTGCCTCTGTGCTATTGGAACTTCCTCCAAAAGTATTGGTAAATGGTTTACCAAAAAATAGAGATAATTTTGTCCATCAAGCCTAAAAGAATAATAATTAGGAATTGGTGACGTTTGAACAGTTTTAAAATTTACCTATTTGGTAGAAAGAATGGTCCAATAAGTCTATCTCCAAGAATTCCCGCCCAAACGTTTACTAAGAATCGAATTTAGTGTCGGCTTTCTATGACAGCATGAGGATTTTGATCGGACCAGTAATGGGTGTTGTGGTAATTAACAATCCCATTTTTGGTAAACCCTGCTTCATCAGTGCATAAAATGTTTGACAGAAAAAAGGGATCTTCTACCAACGACAGAATTTGGCACGAGCGGGATAGTCTGGAGGATTAAGGGCTTCTGGATATAGCAGTTGGGTATGAAGAGTTATCCACACAGTATGGCCACTCACGTTTTCTCGCGCTGCAATTTTCCTTACAGATAACCCTGGATCGTCCTCTACACTTCTTAAAATTCGCTCTTCAATTGCTGGTGTACGCACTGTAACATTACTGGTGCCTGTTACTAAATGAACCTTTGTCTCTCAGGCGCTGATGGACTCTGGCAAATATCCTATGAGAGGGTGCTCTGCGATTTGGATATTTTTGAATATCCAAACGTTTAGCTAAAAGACCGTTTCCGTTCGCTCTTCCATAAATAAAATGCATATCTGTCAGTTCAAGTACAGTATATTCCATAATTTCTGGTATATAACGCTCACGTACACTTCAACAACAAGAAACTGACAGAAATACTTAAAAACCAGAATAATTTTAGGCAAAATTATTTACAATTTCTTTTTGCTAAATTAAAATAAAAAAATTGTGATAAGGCCATGTACATAGCTATTGTTCTGTCCTAACTTGATTATTCCATTTACAAAAAGTATTCATTGACAGTGGCGTGCCCACAAATTTCTTCTGGGGTTTGGGTTGCCACTTACCTTCCGATTGTAAAGTTGAGAGAAAAAAATTGACCCACAGACAAAAAATAATTTTTCATAATAAAATTTCTTCGACATTACTTGAAAATATTTTTATTCTTTAGTTTTTTGGGAGGTTGATTAGTTTAACATATCACAATATTCATAAATTTATGTTTATTAATCTGTGAGATACCCATCAAAAAATAAGTAATTTTACTTTTCGTTTTTCAACTACAGGTTTACCAAACTCTTTGCCTTCAATTTCCTCGAAAATGGTTGCTTTAAGCGACTTGCAATAATAGTAACTTTTTTATGGAAAAAAGGTAGTTGTTTTTAAAAAATAGACCCACGTTGTAACAAAATCAACCTCTAAAAAGTTAATCATAAATCGACCCCTTACCCTTGCAAGAACTACCCTTTCTGATTAAATAAGTAATTTTTTGATATTACCATTGGATTCAGCAGTAAATTTTATGTCAGCAGTAATTTTTTTCGAAGTTTTATCGTGTTTTTTAAGCTTACAATTTCAAAAAAACCACTTTCCAAGTTTGCCCTTTTGACGCCCCTAAATCCCTTAATATGTATTTAACGACCCATAGTTATAGGAACTTTTTTTACTAGTTTTAAAAGTACTGTCACCCCCCGAATTTTTTTAAACTATTTCAATGACACCCTGTATATAGAACAATCTAAGCATTATTTTAAATTTCTTTTCGAAACGGTTTTGACTTTTGACTGAAAATATCTTGTTACTAGGACTATTTATTTAACTAAATTAATTATTTAAATATAGTGAACTACCTGTGATTTGCTACTGATGAGCCTTTTTAGAGAGAGTTTCAAAAGTCACTTAGAAACATCTTTTAAAATTTGAAATTCGCTGTCACATTCAAAATTAGTGAAACCACTTCTGGTTTATAAGTTTTTTGTTGACCAGTCTCAAAAGAGTACTTTACCAATAATGAAACGTAAATGAAGTAGAAAATTTGAACTTAGCCATACCCAATCAGGAAATGAAAGTGATATGACCCAATGGGTGGTTGAAATATGCTGTGTTGACCCATTTTAATGTTTACCTAATATTTAAATTATTAATAAAAAAAATTGTAGTCATGTTAAGCCATGTTCCTACTGAAGATCTAGTACAGACTTTAGATTCTGGTAAAACCTCAAATAGAATAGGATTTAGAACAACTTTTATTAATACATATTTTAATAAGTTATATGAAACATAGTTGCCGTGAAAAAGACCTAGAATAATGTCATCGCTGGCTTATAATAATACTAATAATAATTTAGGCCTTAGAAAACAGACTTTTACTTTCAAAACAAAAAGAAAAAGGAAATTATCTTAACAGTACCACATAACATTTTGTTATTGTTACTTATTAATAACAATATTTACTTTTCAACTCAATTGATCGAAAAAATATTTGATACAATAAAACAGTGGTCGTCAACCTCTCAATGTGTTGAGGTACTTTGTTAATTTTGGAATAAACAGCGAGCTACCCACACGGAATCCACGTAACGCAACGTAAATGAAATATTCCACAGTTAATTTATCATTATATGTATTTATTTTACTATTTAACTGGTAATACATAATACATAGGTACTAATAATAAACTAATAACAAAATAACTAATATTACTAGTACGTACTTGTTCATAGCTACATTCCTACCTACCAAACGAAGGTGTTTGAAATATAAACACAAACTTTTATCCAGCCACAACGGCATGTCACGTAAGATTTAAAAATAAAAAAGCACGTTCAATGAGAAGGCTGAAACTCAGATTCATCGAAAATTTTTTTAATGTTTACAGTATAATTTGAT